TAAATTAAACCACACTGACCCAGCCAAAACAACACATGTTGGTGACAACCGCATGAGCAAGCGCTTAATCATGGTTATCATAGTCAATCATCACCGTCACCGTTCGAGATTGTGCACACATCACAATAGCGTGTTCGGTGTTGCGCCATCTGAGAGGAGCACAGTAATACGCCTCAGGGCAAACGGACGGGAACGTATGGCTGACAGCATTGTTTTTCAAGTCACAGCCCACCATTGAGAACAACACGAAGAAAAACAGATCAGACATAGAAGTCTGCACATGTTCTGTACGTGACTTCACCCATTCAAACGTGCAAGGAACGAGGATTAATCTTCATTGCAATCCACTTACCAGCGAGCTCAGTTCGGAAGCCGATCCGTCCTCCGGTCCGCCCTCCTTCATCAGGGCCAGCTGGTCATACAGCACCACGTTCATCGCGTTCAGCAGCTTCAGCGTCTGGTCATCCGTCCACATCGTGGGTCCGAACGGGTTCTTCTTGCACGTAGTCCAGGCGGCGGCCGGGTGCTCGGGGAGCCGTCCACGCAGCTCATCCAACACCAAGCCGGCGATCTTGCTGTAGCAACTGCAGAGACCACGCCAGGTCAAGACTCGCACGTGCACATCCGAGTTCATCTTTGTTCCGGGGGAGGGGGGGGGGGGCAAGAGACAGGGATACGAACGTTAAAAAGCTAAGACGTAAGCAATGGGAGAGATGAGTGCCTTGTGTGCCATCGCCCTGACGGCGATATATAATATACGCGATCACGGCGATCACGCTGTTTGAACAGCACGGACAAATACCACATTCAGCACCAAAAAACAACAAAAATTCGACCAAATCGCTTGTTAGAATCATGTCAAATTCTGGTGACGCCTTTCTAGCACAACACATCGTGGTATTTGGCTGGAGCAAGTGATAAAGGGAAAGGTGGATTCGATAACCGTAGATACATCGCCTGCAATCGAGTGTCATCCGCACGAATGAACACAGAAAAGGGACTTGACATATGCAAACTTGCACCCATTAGCATGACCTTCACACACATCAGAAACACAACCGAGCTGGCAGAATGTTTGCGCGCAAGGCCTAGGATTCCATATGGAAATCGAACGATTCGAAAAGAGATAAAAGACTCACGTATGGAGATTGGACTCTCGGTTGTCGGTTTGCTCCGGAACCATCCAGAGGCTCATCAGATAGAAGGCTTCGGGCACGTTCAGATGCTGCACTGGCCGCTGCATGTACTCCCGGAACATGGGCAGCAGCACGACGTCTCGCTGGATCTCGCGGAACAGCATCCGCGCGTAGTAGCGCACAGACAGGTCATCATCCCTGCCCAAAAGCGGATAGTGTTACACACGTGCCTCAGACAGCATTTTCTCGTTCCGAAGCAAAGTGCGACGTCCGGGGCTTAGTTACAAGTCAATGAGTTTAACTGCTGGAGCGAATAGGCTGGTTTGGTCTTTACATTAGCTACGTGATAACAGAACATACGATAAGTGCATGATGGTGATGGTGGATAAACCAGCCTGGTACGTGCGATATAGACAAGCTGGCACGGTGCGATGATCGACGTTAAGTCACGAGCAAGGCATGGCAGTGGCCTTGGGAGTAAGAAATTGAGCCATTCTTGGCGTCTCACAGACATATCCGAGATACAACTGTCATTTAAAACTGAGATGAAAAGGCGAGACTGTCGTCAAGGACAGCACGGTCCCTCACAAATTACCGCCGGCGTTCCATACGACTCAATTATCGTTTGGAACGACAAGTTTCAGAAGCTTCGCAAATAACCATCATGGCGTGCAAAGAAATCTACACTTCAGTAACTGGGTGATCTTCACCATATCCTTTAAAATTGTGAAGTGGCACGTGACGTGTCAAGTGAAGTAGATACTACATGGCAGTGCTTCACATATGTGCCTTGCAATTTATGCTTGGCCAATTTTATAATTAAGCAAACTGCCGAGACCACAGCACACCGATTATGTAATCCAACTTACGGACGGTGTTGGCGCGAGTAGATGACCTCCAGAAGGGCATCCCGATTGAACAGGGTACCATGGACGGGCACCAGCTTGCGGAACTCCTCCATGGCGGGGTCCGGCAGGCAGTCGACTGTGTAGCATCTGTCAGCCATCTTGGCTAGGGCTGTACGCAGGTGATGGCCAGCCGAGGCGCGGAACCTCGCAGTGCGCCGCCAGCTGCATCCGCACCGCTCAAACACGCGCAGCAAGGCAGGTCGGCACGAGGGCTGCACCAAGCGCGGGTACCTGCGAAAAAACAACGGCGTCGCCATTGAGGCCAAAAGGGGGTTCGGGAGGAGGTCTACTAGATGAAAGACGTGGCTTAACATCGCTTTTGTCTCAGAAAATCTCGGCCAAGGCACTGTGCGCAGTGAGGGTGATTAAATCAATACCATCTTCACAAGGAATATGCAAAGAGCAGTGAAGCATACAATCAATAATGTTTGCAAATTGCCAACCTCCCATACATTCGCCATGGCTAACTCTGAAAGCAAGTGAAAACAGGAATCTGACAAGGTGGGGGCATTGACCCTGAAATTAAAAATCCTGAAATAGAGACTTGTGGTAGTATGCATGAATGCAACAGTTTGTAATCTGATAGAAAGCAATGATAATGTTTACTTCTATTCAACATTATGCTGCATGAACCTTAGATAGTCTGGCCTTAGTCATCTAGATACCTGACAGAGTGCCCCCAGGATAGTGATAGATCAAATGCTTTGAGCATCCCACTAGCAGGTTGAATATGCTGACAAGCATTTCAGAGATGGAATAGTGACTTGGAGGGAAACTCTGTGGATCAATACAATGAAGATTGAATAAAGAAGTGTAGATGTCTTTGAAACATTACAGCGCATGTAAGACCCTCTCTGGAAATGGCGAGAAATGAGGAGCATGATTTCGAGCACCTTGCCATAAAGTATGACACCATATGACTTTCAATATGCCATAATACCACCAATGAGTTTTGCAAACAGCTGACTCATTCTCAGCCCCAGTCTCCATGTACTGCAACATTGGTTTGACAGAAATTGTTAATGCAAAACCTGGATAAACAGTCCTAGGGGCATAATTTGGTGATATGAAAATTAGAAGAAAAGTCAACACTAAAGACTTAAGAGCAGCAAATTACACTTATGGGTACACTGTTGTACCTGAACCTAGACTATGAAAAGACAGTGAACAAGCCTTTTAAAACAATAAAACAAAGGGCAAAATGCTATCCACTTGTTGAGTTGGAGTTGCACTTATTGCATCCATCAACATTCTCTACCCATTCACTGTTTCATCCATGTGACTGCTATTGCATTGCTGATAGTTCAGGTTTTGCATAAGGAAATAGTTTAAGCATGATGCATGGAAAAAACAATGTCAAAAAATACTTTGCATCTTGTTGGAAGGACTACACCATGATGCAATGAAAAATGAATGAAAACTGGCCCAAATGAGGTTGAATGAAGGAAGACCATAAGTGATGGCTATGACCAGGGGTGTCACTATCTCAGTCATTTGTAATTTGTGGCTTACAACTAACTTATAGGCTGCACTGCATTTCCAGGCACTGCTTTTAAACACATGCACTGTACCTAGCACACACAGCATGCAACACACCCAAACTTAGTGTTGTATGTGAATTGCACATTTGGTAAATGGAAAGCATGTTTCTTCATGATGGTGACATTTGCATGACAAAAAAAATCATCCAGGGCAAATAAAAGCTTGATATACCTAGCAAGAATTATCAATACATGTGTGACACTTTACCTCCTTTTGATTTGCATATGGTCTGACCTTCAATGTTTCTCTAACTTCACAAAACTACACAATCTCACAAATGTATACACAAATAAGTACAAAAAATCAAAAAGTCAATTTACAGACATTTAAACATACTATGCAGTGTCAGTTAAGTTTGCATAAAAAGGATGTACTGCTCACAACTGCTGGTACAGATACTGATGTAGCTGACATCCCTTCAAGCCACAAATATGGATGCATATGCATATACACATACATCAAACTGATGTACTTTTGTGTAATTGTTCTCGTTGTGTTCCATCTGACAATAATTACAACTGCCATTGACTTGTGAGCTGTAGGAATACCCCAAATCTTCAGTGTTGGAAAGTTAACATTCTCAGCAAAATGACACCTTAACAAGACCACTCACCTGGACTTAAATCCGAATTTCCATACTTTTTCTGAAGTATGGACATCGTGAAGCCTCCTGCATACTTGTGATACAGATACAAGGTCTTCTATACTCAGGAAACACAAGACATGTTCCAAAATTTCAGTTGGCAGAGAAAGCAGAGATTTCTCAACATCCTTGTCTTCGCTGACCAGATGCATCACTTTCTCCTCATTCGAGAACTCCATCGCATACATCAGCAGCATTCAACAATCACGTGCACTGTTTCAGATATCGAAAGTAGTCACCAAACTCAGCACATTCAGCTTTGCACGGATGAACGTGTTGAATACAAACACGCGTCGGAGCGCCGGAATGGAAACGGAAGTCAAATGCGGCGGTTGGCGGTTAGAGACACACGGCACGTTGCGGACGAGGCCGTTCAAACCTTCCAATGAAAAGCGGTTATGTTAAACTGATGCGGCGTTGCTGAACCGGATGCAAATGTTCATGCGCGCTGGAACGGCACTCAGAGTCTCAATTCTATTTTAGTTGGAACGGAGAAAGGAACTGCAACGAAGGGAGTTACTTCATAGACTTTTACGTGGCCTAAGCCCAACAATGCTGATTTCAGCCCGCCCCCGCTCAAAATCTCTCCTAATCCTTGTTATGCTGGATTACTGGGCAGGAAAGGAATACCGGGCAACAAAAAAAACAATCGTATAACTCTGAGTATAGGTAGCAGGCTTCTTAAACACACCACTATTAGGATCATGTACATTTAGGGGTGGGACACTGTCGTTTTAGTTGTGGAACCAAAATCATGAACCTTGCCCATTCTATTTCCCAGATCCATTCCTCCACAGGTTTTCACCCCCTTTTTCGCTCGTTATGGTTATGGTCCTTTGCTTTCTTGCGTTAGTTTCGCTCGCGCAGCTTCTCTTGCATTTATTTCACGCAACAAAAAATTGGTGCCAGTGGACTTTTAACGCGTGGGCTTTTCTACGGATATATTAATGTTGGCGGACTAAAAACCACGCCATGCCGTTTACAGACTTTTCGGCTGAGTGCAACACAAGACGCACATAACTTTAATTCTGAGAGGTGCTTCTTGGGGTGTCCTGGACATATGTGCAGAATTTCAGCGCTGTAACAATTTGTATGATATCAAACAGACGCCCGTTTCTAAGCGAGGTTTATTCACAGACATTTCACAGCTCCTGGAAATGTGATGCTCGCCATGTTAGACTGATATTACAGATTCAATTTCGTGTGTCACATTCATGCAATTCACCGACATGAACGAGCCTTGGCTGCCAGCTTCGGCAAGTTACACCATTTACAAATATATCAGCCACAAAGTGCGACATTAAAATACAATCGCGCCGTTGAATCATCAATGTTCATCGTCGTTGAAAGCTTTTTCTTGGTAAACGTTCGCTAACCACGCAGATCTTGGCCAAATTTGGTTTCTTGATGGTGCACGCGCGTTGATAGAACAAAGCATCTCAAATAAAAAATCCCACTTCCACCTATCACATTCGAAATCACGCGCACACACAACCGTAAAAGTTCAAGGTCATAAAAATTGGGCACCCCAAAAGCTCTCCGACTGGACAGGAACATACGCCTCATGAAAATCCACCTAACCACCACATAAAAGATCGTGGCGTTTAAACGTTTGTTTTCTAGAAGCCTTGAAAACTTGGAAATGACGTCCCTGCACGCGTCAACATACAGACATTGCATGCCAGCTATAAGACAGCGAGACTCATTCGATCAGCTTGAAATTTAGCACAAAAAAGCACATCATGTACGTGTACAGTTTTTGTTGAGTGGCAATTTGTGACATTTAAATTTACGCATTCTAGAGGCTTTCAAGCATGGGAGGTATAACATATGCATGAAAACGACACCAGCAGCGTCGCAACATGAAACCAAGGCTAAGGAATGCTGCATCGTACAGGATGCATCTGGGCATTGTCTGTCACATGACATGTCATGTGACATTTGATCATGCGAAATGCGATATGCAAATTAAATACGTCACATATGAAGATCGTTTTTCCACCTTCGCAGACTACTCTGATTGTCACAAATTTTGCCACAAACATTCACCTCGCATGGCTCCATCCAGCCACCAATATTATACCGTGACATTTCAAATGTTCGTGTTCCAGCAGCATCCAAACCTTGGATATAACAACCTCGCACGTGTAACATGCATGCATTGCATGTTAGCGAAAAATACAAACTCCATTCATCAGGACGAAATTGGCACAAAAATGTATCATGTACTTGCACAATTTTTCGTTATTGGCAATTTTTGACGCTCAGATCTACAGCATTTGGAGGCTCTCAAACATAAAAATATATGACAGATACATAAAACGGCACAAATGCGTTGTAATATGCCGCAAAGCCCAAGGAAGTCAGCAAATACATCCTGCCGGATGCATTTCGCGTTGTCTCCCACATGACACGTCAAATGGCAATATGTCACTTTGAGTCTGAGGGATGATACTTGGGGTGCCCTGTACATATGTCCAGTATTTAAGCGTTGCGACAATTTGCATGATATCAGACGGACGTCCGTATTTAACCGAGGGTTCTTCACAGACATGTCACAGCTCCTGAAGATGTGACGCTGGTAGTGTGAAATCGATATTAAATATGCGCGTTCGCGTGTCACATTCAATCTACTCACCGTAAGAAATGATCCTTGGCTCCCAGATAGGACAAATTACATCATTTAACGACAACATCAGCCACAAAGGACGACATTAAAAAACAACCACGTTGTTAAATGATGAAAGTTTAACGTCGTTCAAGGCTTTTTCTTATTGCGCACTCGTTGAGTGTACACATTTCGTCCAAATTTGTTGATAGAACAAAGCTTCTCAACTAAAAATCTCACTCTCCATCTGTTACATTCGAAAATGCGCCCGTACAGAACCGTAAAATTCTATGGTAAATACGCCCGTGCAAAAACGTGAAATCGCCCGTACAAAACCGTCTCGGGAGCTAAGAAAGATAGAAACACCAAATTTACAAGATGTATTGGGCTGTACGTGAACTCACTTAGGATAAAGTTCGTGGTTTCTAGGTCACGATCTTCGGGTCAAATAAGGTCAAACAATGTAAAATCCCAGGCTGGTCTCCAAAGTGCCCCCAGCATCCTAGACAACTGTTTCTAAGCAAAAGGTCACATGCTCATCTAAGGTTGGTGACCTTGTTTGACATTTTAAAGGTCATGGTGACCAAGATAATAGAAGACTGCTCTAAATTTTGCAGTTAAATAAGCGACAAAGATTACGTTAGGCAGTGTGTTTCTAAAGGCGAAAGCTGACCCGGGTCATTTGAGGTCAATGACATATTCTGACCTCTAAAAAGTCCATGGAATATGTACAATGCAGTTGTTGCTATCAATTAATTCGAAATGAGCACCAGAAACTATCCCATACAGGAAGCCCTAGAGTAATAAAACAGGTTGGCTATGACCTTAGTCTGATCTGCATACATGACATTAGGTCAACGTTATTTGCTCATCCAATATTTGTGTTGCCTAGGAAGGAATCTCCGAGATGTATGGCTTCGTCTAACACTCCGTTGTCGTATCAGATTGAAGGATTGCCTAGAAATGGACTTCGCTGAGACCATAGCCTGACTTTGACCTGTCATAGGTCAACGACCTCACTAGGTACATCAAAATTGTTTATGTCACTCAATCCGCTATTCAATTGTCTACAGCTACGCAGAATTTGGGGAGGCTACGCCGCGCCGTTCGGAAACCATTTGGGACAAACTCTAGGGGAGGGGGCCAATTTGACCCCGCTCCACCCGACCGCGTGTTAAATGTGGCACGCGAGTGTAAATGTATCAAATCAATCTAAGCTGGCGGACGTGAAAATGTGATCAAACAATGGTTTATCTTGGTTTGGTTCAAAGATAAGCTATTTGCTCGAGAAGAAATAACAGCCGCATTATGACACAGCATCTCACTGTCGTAGTGGACGCCGCAAGTGCCCACAGATGACGTTGATCCGACGCTACTCCAGAACACTGCGGGAGGGCAACGATTGTGAATTGCTGTTGGGTTTCTCCTGGCAGTACCAGCCACTAAGGCTAAACAAGATATTTTGTTGAGTGCTCCAGTGAATCGAATTGAGTTCGTCTCGTGCTTCTGCTCATTAAAAAGGATACTGAACACACTACGAAACTTACAAAACGAATACTTTTAGTTATCTGGAACATATTACTGGGCAACCGAGCGGCCGACCACACAACACCAAACGCAACTCACAGCTTCCAAGGTGCTTTCACAGAAGTGAGGACAATAAAACCAGTGTCCCTGCTCACGAGGTTCAGGCACTACACATCCAAGTTTAAGACGCGCCCGCGCTGTCGGTTCGATACCCTTCGCTCGGGTGGGGTGTCAATTTGACCCGGCTGGGGTCTCAGAAACTGAGAGACCTAGAGATTACACATTCGCAGGATGTATTTGCCTGTACATAAAATCACTAAGGTCAAAGTTTGAGGTTCCTAAGTCATAACCTTCGGGTCTCAAACTTCGGGTTTGTGTCCAAAGTGACTCGAGAACGACCTTGTTTGACCTTTCGAAGCTCATGGTGACTGAAATCATACAAGGCTGCCTTGAGTTTTGCATTTGAACAAGCAACAACGATTACGCTAAGAAGCATGTTGCTAAAAAACAAATTATTGACCTTGGTCGCTTTAGATTGGCGACCTTTTGCAAGATATATAATGCGTTTCCTGCTATCAATCAACTCGAAATGAGCACAAAAAACTATCCCATACCGCAAACTTGGGGGAACAAAACAGGCTAGGTTTGACTTCGATCTGACTTTCATACCTGAACCTAGGTCAATGGAACTTGCTCATTCAATTGTTGTGTTGCCTAAAAAAGCTTTTCAGGGATGTACGGCTTCGTCTAACACACGGTTGTGGCATCAGACTAAACGATCCCCTAGAATTTAACAGTCTTTTTCAGGTAGCTCCGGGGCCTCCTCGCCGGGGAGCCTCGTGAGCGAGGATAGGGCGGGCTCATTCGCTAACCATTCACCACTCAACTTTTCTGTGGGCTGACCTACAAGACCACGCCTGTGAAGACAGCTGTAGCTGCAACAAGAGAATACAAATTTCGAGCGATCCCCATGGTTCAGTACGTGAACTCTGTGAGCAGTTTGCCGAGTGCATTTATGTGTGTTTGAGCCGTCGAGGCCGAACATTTTGATCACGTAATAGAACAGACCTAAATCAACACGACACGTCTTACCGTTATGGACTTTGGTGGCTAGGAAAACGGTGCAATGAATACTCTGTGTGTCAATCTGACGCCCTGAAATGAAAA